ATTGTCAAAAGTTTGTAGTGATGTATAATTGGTATCATTAAGTATGAGATGCTATTCGGCAATAACATAGTTTGAGTCCTCGTGTCAGCAGAACTGCTGTCTTCATAACCAAAATAGCATATTTGAGAAGATCTGGTGTCAAACCCAATGAGCCATAAAGATATCTGTGTTGACAGAAGATGAGAGACCACAACATTTCTGAGTCCCAAATGTTTGTCTTGAATAGTCTATTGGATTCGAGATAAAAGTTATTTTAACAATTTTGTTTACCTATGAGAATAGTTTTACCTGATTTAACATATAGTGTGTTAAGAAAAGTGTAAAAACAAAGTTAAGGACCGGCATGAATACCATCTCAATGTGAATACATTGTATGATATCGATTGCCAAACGGATCAATTCGATGGCACCCAGAGATGCGGCGCCCATCAGAATAGCTAACTGTTCTGTTGGTATTACATTATAAAGTATTGTTTTACATATAAAAATGAATTATGATATATTAATAATTATAGATAAAATTTATAATTATATCATTCATAAACAACTGACCGGTTCTAATTTCTTTGAGTCCAATTTCGTTGCTATACACGTATTGACACCTCAATAAAAGCGTGAATATTATCGATACAAACATTAAATATGCAAAATATATAGTTGTAATCATTTGATGTGACACATTCAGAGATTTCATATTTGTCTCATTTTCTGTTCAAATTTAGATTCTTATTAAAATTTATACATTTTTTGACAACTTATAAAGATTTTAATGAATTGACAAACCTTTATATCCTATCAAACAAATAGTGATTGAAATGTGAAATATTAAGTATATTTGGGAAAGAAAAATATATCGAGATTTTCTTGAATTGCAAATTAGATCCGATTCCCGATATTTCTCTTTCTCTTTGAAATCATTAAATTGTTTCCTAAAAGTATCGCTTCTTTTAAGTTTTGAATTATCTTCGAATGGAAGCGAAAGAGTGTCTGATATCATATACCCTGAAGAACCAAACTTTTTGCCGCAAATTATATTGTCATTCATCGGATCCAATCGTTTTGGTCGAGTGAGCGAAGGAGTGGGCNCAAACTTACTAGTTTTGCATTTATTTTTAATTAAAATTTTTATTATTTAAAATAATTAAAATAATCACTAATCAGGATTACTAACTTAGTTTAAATAATAATTATATAAATAATGACTATTTCATTAAATATATTTGGCCATATTCAGACACATTAATTAAAACATTATAAATGTCATAAAAATTATTGTCATCTTAATAATTTTATTTAATTAAACTGTAAATATGGTTAACTGGTAATTTTATATTATTCATTAATATAATATTAATTTAAGTTGGGATATCGGAATAGCTAGAGTGTTTAACCTTTGTTTTCCAATTACTTTTAACTAAAATGTACATGTATATTTTTTAAGTAAATGAAATAATCAATGATTATTGATGTATTATGAAATACTAAACTGTAAACATGTTTAAATAGCAATCTTATCTTAATCATCAATTAAATGCTAATTTATTTTGGCTAATCGCAGACTTCGGTTTTTTGCAATTTTAATTATAATATTTTTGAAGTTTAAATTATATAAAATTGTATTATAAAACACTACTTACTTCGGGGGTAACCTCTTTGCCGGTGTAATGCTTGGGTACGCCGTGATAGACATCAGTGCCATTATGACCGGTCGGCCCGTTGTATACCTTTCCCGGGTATTTGTTTTGCCTATTGTTAGCGATATCGTCGTAATGCATGACTATTATGTTTTCTTCGGGAATACCGTTTGCCTTCACTATTTGATACGCGTGGTATACGTCGGCCTTTAGGGTAAAATTTATGGAAAATTAGTTGGGTATAAATTAATCAATTTTGAGAGCGAGAGAGAGAGAGAGAGAGAGAGAGAGAGAGAGAGAGCTAATGCCAAAAAACAAACCTGGTGTCTATAATTGCCCCACGTATTTGACCCAGCTACCAATACAACCCAATTTTTACCGGTAAACTCATTGACTGGCAATGAATTAACCGATAAATACAATAACGACAACAAACACAACACTTTCATTGTGGAATAATTAATATGTAATTACTATTACAATAATACCTATTAATTTTTTTACTAGTACCCTGTTGCTTTATATACCATAAATAAATCAGATAATTTACTTCCAATTCACCACTTTTATTTAACCATAATATAATTACGTGTATATGTGCAATATTAGCTTGTGACATGATAATTATGATTAATAACAAAAAATATTTGCTCTCGAAATAAAACTATTTAATAAATTCTTAAGTTAATGTTACGTATCTCAATATTGTTTTTAACCATTATCATTTTGTTATCAAATAGTATTTTTAACTTTAGGCTTTTCATTAGAAAAATCTATTTACTTATAATTTTCACTTTTGTTATTTTTACAATAACCATGATGAGCTTAAGATATTTTATTAATACAGTAAATAAATACTACAAATGTAGTAATTTAACCGTAATATTTTTAAATCATTTTGTTATATTTTGTTAAAATATTTGTCGTTAAACAACAATGTTTGAAATGTACCCTTGTTGTTTTAGCACCCTTTGGGATTACCTTAATTTTTGTATTATCTATATTTTTAAATAATATATTGATTAACCACACAATTGGTATTGTTTATCATCGGCATTATAATCAGCGCTGTACAATTAATATATAAGTGCACTTTGTAACGACATTGATACTTTACTCAATATTAACAAGGTTCTAAAATGTAGTATATAACATGTAAGGACAGCTAACCTTTAGATTGCCCACGTAATTTTATTTTTTAAGTACCCGGGAAAGAGTATTTGTAAAATTATTATTATTAATTATTAAATAATTTATGATGGCAATTTATAACAATAATTTAAAAGTTTAGTAAGCATATTAACTAACATAAAACAATATGTATAATTATTGTTGGTTTTACGTTCTGGATTATATTTATTTAAATATTAAGTTAGATTTTTTAAATTCAAGGTATTTAAAAAATCACTCTAGCACTATTATAAGATTTAGATGTATTGAGCGAAAATCAAGTAAATAAAGACCAGGATTTTTAACTTACAATAATGTATTCATTATGATTAATTTACAGTTTGATGTTTTGCGCAAACTTTTTAAATAAATCCAATATTGTTGCATTAAAGTCAACATAGTTTAATAATCTATTTAATCATGAGTAATTTATATTTATTTAGTACTATATATTTTTATAATAGTTACGCAAAATTAATTATTTATTTAATGCACCATGTTAAAATAGATAATATCATATTATGATATTTATATTCCGTATATGCTGTTTAGTAGTAAATAATATCGTGTAGAGCCGCCACTGTTTTCACAATACAAATTGCCCATTTTCAGTGTTATATTTTATGTAGGTAATATTATATATTTAATTTATTTATAAACATGAATTATTGCCCATGCATTACTTTTCTAATTCAATTGGATTACTTAAATAATCATAAAATTTATCAAGGTGTTTTCATATGTTTAATGATAATATAATAACCAAGGTTTAGATTTATATTTATTTAGAACTAGATTTATTTTATCTAGCAATAATTTATCAAATATCATGTTTGTAACTTAATTATGAATGTTAAAACTATGTTACTTTTGTAAGCATTAATTACGCCATTTAATATTTCTAATAAATGTTGGCAAAAATATATTCAAACATAAACTGTAATATTATTTATTATTTCTAACCAAATAATTTATTTTACAAATACTGTATATTTAATTGGGCAAAACTCTACACTTCGTTATTACGATAATTTATAATTTATTTTTAATTAACATTGTCAAAAGTTAACTTATATAAATTAATAAATCTAGCTATTCTCTCTC